AGAACTAGCTAAGTAAAAAGAATAGGAATTTGTTTAAATTAATAATAAATTCACATTTTCAGGCTAAAATTTCCATTTCAGTGGAGTCAGACTGAATTGTCAAACAGTGAAATTTTCTTTTGAAAATGTTAAACTTGTGGTTTGGTTTTAAAGTAATGAAATTTTAGGGTCAGAGTTCATCAGATTAATTTTTTATTACTTGCCCACAAACCTGAGATGATTCTGAGGGGCTGAAAATTCATGGGAAGTTTCCAAACACTTTACCTTCAGAACTGCTACTACACAATATCTTGCTTAGTAAATCTTTCTCACAGCCTAATAGCACCATCTAGTGTACTTTTAGATACCAAAACAAAGGACTTTTAGCTCCTTTTCCTTATCTCCATATTAAAAAGTTATTCTAGAGAAACCTTAACACTTGACTTTGTACCAGTTTATAACTTTCCAGGAACCTTTATTTCAACTTTTCTCTTTTCCATAAAATCAGATGACACAGTACTTCCTCTCCCAAATTTTAGTTGTGATTCTGGTAGGCACCATAGCAAAAACATGTCTACAAAAGATTTTAACTTGTATGGGATTATCTTAAAATGTGCTCTGTAGCACAGAAGATAAGAATCCAGAGAGTGATTTATTATCTCCTATCTTCTTAAAATTAGAAGTGATCTTGAAAATCAGGCTATCCAGCTTCCAGAGCTATTCAATAACTTCCCTTTTTGAAACACATATGCCAGCCACCCCAAGTACAAACACTTCCAGTAATACAATCTCTGTCATGTCACAAAACACTCCTTTATACTCTAGAATTACTCTGATCGTTTGAAATCCTTCCTCATTGAACTGAAGACCACCTTATTGTAGTACTGGTTATTTTCTCTAGAACTTCTTCTCTATGATTGCATGTAAATATTTGAAGACTGCTGCCCCATCTCTTCCTATGTCTTCTACCCCAGTTTCTTCTATTAGTCATAAAGTCTAATTTCTAGACCAAACAACATTCTCTTCTGTCCGTGCCTTCTTAACAAAAATGTAATTAGAAAAGAAGCTAAGAGATACTAAGAAAGCACTATGAAATTTTGAAAGTACAGGGAAAATCAAGCCCATTAAAGCATTTTACTGAATAGTATCTATGTACAGCAGAATTTGTACATATACATTGTTATCTACTATTTTATTGGATAAGAATTGACTTTGTCCAACCCCCTTACTGTTCTTCACAATTTGTTACCATCATAGGTCTGGGCTGCTCACCTCTTGAAAGCCAATTCTCAGGATAGAACTGATGAGAAGGAATCAGGTTTACTTAAGGGCTAAGAAGATAAAGTGGCTATCAACTTCGAAGCTCCATCTTCTGGGGCTCAGGAGCACAAAGAGCTTTTATAAAGATGGAAAGGAAGAACAGAGCAGGAAGGCTCCATGTGGCTGGGGGTGGGGGAGTCATCATCCAGAGTGTGTGACACATTTTTTCTTCTCTGAAATATTTCAGTGGACCTCAGCTTCCTGGGGCTAGCATCTATAGTTCTTTCTAAATATACATCACTTTTCTGTAAGTTAGAGCACATCAGCTTACATAAACTAAGGAAAGGTTTCACATCATCAGATATTCTGGATACTAGATTTATCTTAACCGTTTCAGTAGGATTTCTCTTTAGAATTTAGGATGCCAGACAAAAGAGAAGAAATGTAAAAGGATTGGTGAGAGGCAACAACCTTATGGAAGGAGAAAGATAGTAAGTCTCCCAAGGACGACTCCAAAGGAGTATCCCTGCCATACTTTGTCTGTTAATAGAGATCACCTAACAGGGAGAATTGCTCTTCTCATTTCATTTCTTCCCCATAATAGTATATATGACATCCTGTCTCCCCCAACCGCAAGGTTGAGTCTAGGGATAGGAACATGAGCCAAACACCCTCTTCCAGGATCTCATACAGAGGCCCTTTTCTCATTGGTGAGTGAAGCTGTTCCCTTCCACACAGAAAAATGGGTATTCAGTAAGAGAATGTAGAGCCAATAGGAAAAAGAAACAGCTGCAGAGAGAGGTGTGTTTGTATTCAAGACTCCATGCCTATAATCCCAGCACTCTGAGAAGCTGAGGCAGGAGGATCACAAGTTTGAGCCCAGACTGGACAACTTAAGTGTCTCAGCAAGTCCCGGTCTCGAGGTAAAACATAAAAACTACAGGGGATATAGCTTAGTTCAAAGACCCTGGATTCAATCCCCAGTACCATCAAAAGAAATGTTTTCAAAGACCATGGTTCCGTCATTCCCCGTCTGCTGTGCTGAACTAATTCAAATTGAATTTCAGCCTTTGCACTAGAAGTCTCACCTGATGTGGTTTCCTTTGCTTGTTTTTGTTTCTCAAGTATGTGGTATTTGTGGTTTACGTGAATATCTTAGTTTTTAAGGTATACAATGTATTGTCTTTAGTACTTCTCATTTTATGTCCTCATAAAAAATTTCTTGCTTCTGACTCCATCATTCATTTCTCAACCTGCTGTAATATAGCCATTTTCCATGTGCTTAAAACTGTTGTTACCCATGGTACAAATGGTTTAACTGCCAAATCCATTGAATGTGTCTTAATTGTTAATGTATTTAACACATATAAGCACTCAGCTCTTGTAACTCTTTCCTCCAAGGTTTGAGGCTAGACTGTCTTGGATTTTTCTTTGACCTCTCTAAACAGTGTTCTCAATTTCCTTCCCTCCCTTACCTTTGTCTATTCGTTACGTGTCAGTGTTCCCTAAAGTTCGGACTATTCTTCTTTTATCTTTTATATTCTGCACATCCTAGGTGATGCTGTCTACTCTTCCAGTATAACTATTATTATTGGTGTTGATGATGGCAGTGTTTTTGAGACAAGATCAGATCTCTGCATTATGCTTCAGAAACACATAAACCACTATCTGTGGAGTGTTAGCTAAATCACAAACACCAGAATCAAAACTCATTATCTCACAAAACTAGTTGATTTTCCTCTAGTCTCTACCTTAATGAATAATAGGTGCTTCTTGATAGTCACAATTTTTACTTTTCTCCATCATTTTCCATGTCCAGTCAACAATCAGTTCTTACTATATCATCTAAATACCTACGTGATCCAACCCTTATCCTTTATCTCTCTTCAATACTTAATTCTCACTCTTATCTGAAGTTGGGATTACTGTAGAAACACCTAAGTTAGTGATTCTGCCTCTGGTTCCTTCTTACTTTCACTAAAATCATCTTTCTGAAACCCCCAAATTAACAGATCACCCTTAAGCCCCATACTGCATGCAGGTGGAATTCAAAATTCCCGAGCAAAGCCTACAAGGCATTTAATGATGTGGTCTGACCTATCTTTCTAGCTTTTTTTTTTCCTCATAACTGTCCCACATTGTAATTTTCAGTTATACCAAACTATCTGCCGTTCCCTAAACATGAAATTCCTCACTTTGCTGCCTGTGCACAGGCTGCCTGATATACATGGAATATTCTTCCTTTCATCCATCATTCTTTCTTTTCTTGGAATTTTTTTTCCAAATTTCAGCACCTTGTCCAGTCTTTAATTACAGTTAAGGTTTAAGTGACCCTCTTAAGATTTCTGTGTTTCTTTGTTCATACTATTCTCGAAGCTGTCACACTATTAAATTGTTTTGTTTTTTTACTTTCTCTTTTAGACTGTGAACTTCTTAATGACAGGGACTACTTTTTATTTATTTTAGTGTTCCTAGAACCTGGCACATAGTATGTGCTTCATCGAATGTTAAATTATTTGTGTAGTTATTTATTTTAATCCTATTCTGATTGTATAAAATTTACTTTGTTGTAATTTAAAATTTACATTATCATAGTCATAAATTTGCTATAGTACTAGTGAATTAGTAATAGTACTAAAGATTTTATAGAAATGCAATATATGATTCTTAAGATATATGAGATTATTGATCTTAATGCTAATATACATATTTCTTCTAGTCTTCTCCAAAGGTATACAAGGAAAACAGAAAATAGAAGTATTTAGTTATTTGTAAAATAAACTTAGTGTCAAAAATATCACTTATGATTTTAAATTTTTGGGTCATATTTTAAGTATTACCTTTGCAAGTTGGATAAACTGTTTTTTAATTGTATTGCATTAAAATAATTCTTTGCTTGTTAATAATTAAAATGTTTTATGCGAAAAGAGAATAGTATTATTAGGAAATGAGTTGAGATAGATTAGCAATTGAAAATGTATTCTTTTAAGATCATGATATACAGTGTATTTCCCATTGTTATTCTCCAATTATTTTTTATGAAAAATTATTTTTCCATAGAACTGTTTTTGTTTTTTTATTAATATCTACATGTATTACATATTAAATTAAAAGTAAATAAAACATAGCATAAAAATAATGATTCTTCGCATAGTAAGTTATGAACTGTGATCATAGTTTACACCAAGTGGCACACTTTAGTATTTAATGATAAGTTGTATGGTATGAACTGAAAATGAACCCTGCGTTTATCAGACCAAGCCATTAGTGTTTCACAGCATTAGTGGGTGGAGCACAATGGGAGGACAGAGAGCTTTTAGTCATTGATAAAATAATGTGTTAAGTATATACAGTGTCTAAAAGAAGCAAGATTTGGGGGGAAAGTACTAAGGCATTACCTGTGTTTTAAATTTTTTAAATAAACATAAATTTAGAAACCTTTCTTTACTTGCTTTTACTTTATGACTAATCTTAGACTAGGACAAAATATCCATAAAATCTTTCTATATGAATGTAAATTTTAGACCTCATTATTTTTTAAAATACCCCTAACTATTTTAACATAATATCCACTTTGGTTTTATTTCTTCTTCCCAAGACTTCAAAAGTCCTATAATACTAACAAAGTAAGATGAGTAGTAACATCAGGAAATGGAATGGGAACAATGCATAAAATGGAAGATATTTT